AGAAGGGATTGTGGCGTGGCCATTCTCCCTGGGGGGAGATTTCTCGCTTTCTGTCTCTCTGTCTCTGTCTTTCTGGCAAGCACATGTGCCTTATAGCAAAAACCTCTCCAAAAAAAATTATTTTATTTCACTTTATTTATTATTATTACTTCCCATTTGATCAGCAAGAGAGGGAGGGAAAGTGAGAAAGTAAGCCACCAGGTCCGGGATTCGAACCACAGTTGTTCGAGAGTCCAGCACCTTTCACCACCATGCCACTTGCCAGCCAAAGAAAGTGAGAAAGCAAGCCACCAGGCCCAGGACTTGAACTGCAGTCCAGTGCCCTTAACTACCATGCCGTCTGCTGGCCTGATTTACTTTTCTGAGCCTTTATCTTTAAAATTGTCCTTTGATGGGACCAGCAAGTGGAGTGGTGGTTAAGGTACTGGACACTCCCCCATGGCTGACCACAGTTCGAGTCCTGGAATTTGAACAAAGTACCTGTGTTGGGGCCGATGGTGGCATAGCAGTAAAACATGTGTAAGGCGTATGTAAAACACTAAGACATTCTCACATGGGAAGGTGGTCGGTTCAGGTCTAGACACCTCACTGAGCACACTGATGCTTGCCCAGCCTGGAGCTGGCCGGAGACTGGAGACCATTTCACAGTGTGTGAACCTTGTTGGAGGAGACGTGCATGTATGTCTCCCTGTCTCTCTCTCTCTCTCTCTCTGTCTCATTCATGATCTCTCGCTTTCTGTCTCTCTCTGGCAAACGCACACACCCTATAGCAAAAACCTCTCAAAAAAATTTTTTTAAAGATACCTTTGTCAGTACAGACTTGGGGAAACCTCTAGACAGGCACTCAGAACCTTCCCACACAGGCCAGCTCAAAGAGTGCAGTGTTCGCCACCGTGCCAGCTTGGGCCCCAGCAACTTTTTTCTAAGACAGGGTATTCCTGCGTCACTATCCTCCTGTCTCACCCTCCTGAGTTGCTTGGGTATACACCAGCACATCGGACCTCGTTTTGTTCACCTGAGTTTTTAAAAATAATTATTTAATTTTATTTATTTATTCATTTATTTTAATTTGACCAGAGAGAGACCAGGGAAAGTAAGAAAGCCACCGGGACTTGAACCCCATGGTGGGCCACGAGTGTGTCCAGCACCTTAACCACTATGCCACCTGCTGGCCCCCTTGTCCATCTAATTTTTAAGCAAATATAAATGATAAGGCTATAAATTGCCCTGTGTTTTCCATCTTAGTCCCATTTCCCTTTTTTTTTTTTTTTTTAGAATTATTTATCATTATTTTTAAATTTGCTACAGGGCACACATGTTCACTGGAAAGAGACAGAGAGCGGGAAAATGAGAAAGTAAGGCTCCAGGACTCAAATCAGTCAACCATGTGGGAGTCCATCGACGTAACCGCCACTCCCTCCCTTCTCTCTAGAATCAACGGCCATTATGAGTTTGCGGTTTATCTGTCCAGGCCATTCCCCCCACACCTGCCATGTCCAGGACTCAAAACATGGAGTCAGCCATGTGGGATCCGGCTGCCTTCACCACCAGACCACAGAGCTGGCCTTCTAAATGTATTTTCAAATTTATGTATACAAGTCACGTTCTTTTTTTGGAGAGGTTTTTTCGCTATAGGGCGCGTGCGCTCGCCAGAGAGAGACATAAAGACAGAAAGCGAGAAATCACCCCCCAGGGGGGATGGCCACGCCCCAATCCCTTCTCCTCCCTTCTCCTCTCGGGATCTTGGGCACGCACGCACACGCGCCTGGTGTTGAGTTTTAAGCCACCGGGTCTGGGACGCGAACCACGGTCGACTACGTGCGAGTCCAGGGACAGCCATTACGCTAACTGCTGGTTCCCTACAAGTCACGTTCTTGGTGTATGGATTTAAGTTTTGACCAACTGCATAGTAAAATAACCTTCCACACAATCAAAATACAGAATATTTCAGGTTGGCGTACTGGTTCCACACGCCCAGCCGTGGTGCGCACTGTGGCTCGGTGGCTTCAAAGGCATTCCCAAGCACGGGTGTTCATGTGCAGTCTCAACAGTGGGTCCCAACAGGATGGAGAGAGGAGGGAATGGCAGCATGACTGCACCTTGATAGGGGCACTTTCTCCATTTCCCTCTAGTGAGTGGAGTTTAAAAACAAAACAACAAAAAAGGGCTGGTGGGGGACGTGGTGCTTAAGGGAGTTGGACTCCCACATGGCCGACCACGGTTCACGTCCTGGACCTGGCAGCTTGATTTCTCACTTTCCCCTCTCTCTTTCTCGCTCTGTCCCTCTATGATCAAATTAAAATAAATAAGAATAAATAAAATAATAATTTTTTTAAAAGAATTATTTTCCACAAGAATTTTGCCAGATAAAGACAGAGAGAGAGAGAGAGAGAGAGAGAGAGAGAGACACACCATCTCCAGCTCTCGAACCATGCTCAAAGAGCAAGCCACCAGGTCCAGGACTCGAACCATGGTCAACCATGTGGGAACTCCAGGGCCTTAACCACCATGCCACCTGCTGGCCTCATTAAATTAAATAATTATTAAAAAAAAAAAAAAAACCAGAATGGGCCAGCCTGGTGGCCTACTAGTTGAGGGGGCTGGATCCCACATGGCTGATCATGTGTTTGAATCCAGGCCTTCACGCCTTGAAGAAATAGGCTGGGTGTGTGCATGTGCACCTCACAATCCCAACCGGATGGAGTAATGGAGAAGGGATTTCAGAATCGCCATGCCGCATCGGGGGGCTTTCTGCTTTCTCTCTCCTCCTGTCTCTAGCTAGCACATGTGCCCTCTGGCAAAAGTGAAAAGCAGAAACATTTAAACAGCCCCGGAACCGTTTCATAGTCTCTAAAACCCCTTTGCAGTCAAACCTTACCTCCACTCTTAAATCCTGGCCATCACTAACCTGTCCCCCAGCCCTACAGTTTGGCCCTTCTCGGAATGTCATGGAACAGGATCACACCACTTAGCACAAGACATGTGAGACTGACCCATGAGGTATGCGTCAACAGCCAATTCCTCTTTCTTTTTAGCATTCCACTTCCTGCTCACTCACTGAAGGACACTCATTTCTAATTTTTATCAGTTAGGAATAGTTGTAATTATTTTTTTGAAAAGAGAGGTTTTTGCTATAGGGCGTGTGCACTCACCAGAAAGACAGAGAGACAGAGAGACAGAAAGCGAGAAATCACCCCCCAGGAGGGGATGGTCACGCCGCAATCCCTTCTCCATTCTCCTCTCAGGATCTTGGGCACGCACGCACACGCGCCCAGCTTGAGTTTAAGCCACTAGGTCTGGGATTCAAACTGCGGTCGACTACATGGGAGTCCAGTGACATAGCCATTATGCCAACTGCTAGCCCCCATAGGTTTTAGATTTTTGCCATGAGGCACAGGCACTTGCTGGAGACAGAGGAAAAATGAAAAACAGTCCCTCAAGAAAGATGGCCACACCACAGACTCATCTCCATTTTCCTCAGGATTATGGGCGCACATTCACACATGCCTGGTGTGTTTTTCAAGCTGCTGGGTCTGGGACTCAAAAGGGCAAAGTAGCCATATGGGATTCATCACCTTAACTACCACACCACCTGCCCATGCTCTTATTGAAGCTTTTTTTTTTTTTAAAGAATTATTTTAGGGACCAGCAGTTGGCATAATGGCTATTTCGCTGGACGCCCATGTAGTGGACCGCAATTCAAGTCTCGGACCGGTGGCTTAAACTCACGCCAGGTGCGTGTGTGTGCATGCCCAAGATCCCGAGAGAACGGAGAAGGGATTGCAGTGTGGCCATCCCCCTGGGGGTGATTTCTCACTTTCTGTCTCTTCTCTGAGTCTGTCTTTCTGGCAAGGCCGTGTGCCCTACAGCAAAAACCTCTCCAAAAAAAAAAAAAAAAAAAATATTTTATTGGGGACCAGAAGGGGGCATGGTGGCATAATGGCTGTCACTAGACTCCCATGTAGTCAACCGCGGTTCAAATCCCAGATCCCAGACCCAGTGGCTTAAACTCACGCTGGGGGCATGTGCGTGCATGCCCAAGATTCTGAGAAAAGAACGGAGGAGAAGGGATTGCAGCGTGGCCATAGCCCTGGGGGGTGATTTTTCACTTTCTGTCTCTCTTTCTCTCTCTGTCTTTCTGATAAGCACATGTGCCCTCTAGCAAAAACCTCTCAAAAAATGTCTTAAGACTCTTCTGTTAAACTCTTTGCTTTTCAAAGGAAGTAGAGCTTCAACTTGTACATTATAAAACTAAAACTCCAGGGGCTGGCAGATGACATGGTGAAGGCACTGGACTCCCACATGACCGACGGTGGTTTAAGTCCCAAACCTGGCAGCTTGCTTTCTTACTTGCCCTTTCTCTCTCGCTGGTCAAATTAAAATAATAATAATAATAAATAAGGATTTATTTATAAGTAATTAAAAGGATTATTTATTTATAAATAAAAATAATTTTTAGAAGAATTATTTTATTTAACTATTATTTATTCATTTTAATTTGACCAAAGAAGGGGAGAACAAGAGCCAGAGAGAGACAGAGAGAGAGAAAGTGAGAACGCAAGCCACCATGTCCAGGACTTGAACCACAGTCAGCCATGTGGGAGTCCATCCCCTTAACCACCACGCCACCTGCCAGCCCATAAAAAAGTCTTTACAAGAAAACTAAAACTCCACCCTGAGTTTGTGTCCAACTGCTTGGATGCTGGTACTGCAGCAGACTGTAATCATCATGCCCTTGTCAATTCTGTCCTTTTTTCGGAATATTTTTGTAGCGACACAGTAAGTGTTTGGTAAACATCTGCTGAATGACCAAACCATTCCAGGATAAATAGTCACACTAAAGTCCAAACACCGGGCTCGGGCTACTGAGCACTGAGGCTTTAACTGAACAGTGACATCTGGAGGGTTATGTCACTGCAGAATAATAATCCCACACATCACATTTCAGGAACAGACGAGCCCCATCTCTAGCTCCTCCTGCCACAATCACAGCAGACAGATAAAGTTGAGGAGTTTATTAGGGAAACATGAGAGGCATAGACACCCCAAGTGACAGAAAGAAAACTCTGAAAATGTCCCTTCAAGTCAAGTGGGGGCCTGGCCCTGACCTCCCCAAATCGACGAGAAACTGGTGGGTTAGCGATAACATTCTCTGGCAGCCACTTTATCAGGGCACGAGAGTCTCAACCAGACTTCTCCCCACCTCCCACCAAAGGTGGGGAGGAGAAAAAGACTGTTTATAAGATCAGTGCAGAGGCAAAGAGACTTAAAGTCTGAGAGAGGAGGAGGTGGGGCAGACCTTCACCAAGTCCTGGGCTTTTCGCTCTGAATGCCTCAAACACTCGACAAGTAGTTTTATAAAACGTTACTGAAAAGGTAAAATGCCTAATGTTTCCAAGAGTTCTTGGACTTCTCCCCACATGCCACATCACACCCCCAGATGTACATGGCAGCCCCCAAAGGCCACATTTCCGAAAAAAGAAAAACAAGAATAAGCCCTGTTGCTCTTTAAGGAGAGAGGAAGAAGCTGAAGACTGCTGGGGCCTGTCCCACGTGGCCTGTGTTCCGTAAAGCAACTTCCCAGCAGCAGCATGGCACAGTTTTAGGTGAGCGTCTCACCCTTTGTCACCTGTCAACGGAAAATTGACATTTAGGTAAATTCAAAAGGACTGGAGGGTTCGACATAAAATCCTGTTTTAGGGAGGTTAGCAGGTGGCATGGGGGCTAAGGGTGCTAGACTCCTGCATGGCCAACAATGGTTCAAGTCCAGACCTGGAGGCTTGCCTTCTCATTTTCCTTCTAGTTCTCTCTTACTCTGTCCCTCTCTGGTCAAATTAAAATAAATAAAGTTAAATAAAATAATTATTTTTAAAAATTGTTTAAAAAAAAATCTTGTTTTGGGTCATAGGCATTGAAAAATGGCAGAAAAGAAGATAGCTTTGATGAGGCCAGGAGACGGCATAATGGTTATGTGGCTGGACTCCCATGTAACTGACCATGGTTCAAGTCCCAGACCCAGACTTAAAACTCATGCCAGGCGTGCATGCGTGTGTGCGTGCCCAAGATCCTGAGAGAAGAATGGAAGAGAAGGGACCGATGTGGCTATGTCCCCTAGGGGGTGATTTCTCATTTTCTGTCTCCCGGTCTCCATCTCTGCAGCACGCACATGCACCCTACAGCAAGAATCTTTCAAAAAAAAAAAAAAATAGAAGATAGCATTGGAGTCACAGGCACATGGTTCAGACTCAGGCAGAATACCTGGCTTCCCTAAGCACGTTTCTGCCTTCAGGTTAGTTTCAGCAAGAAGTAGAAACATGCGCTCTTAGACAACCCTTGTCCGTCATACTCACCCGTGCTTCAATGTACTCTATCCTCCGCTCGAGGGCTGTCAATTTCTCATTTAGTGTTGCAAGTCTTGAACGACAAGACATATCTGGTAAAAGAAGACTGAGGTTCAGAATTAACGTCACTGCACACAGACACATACGACCGCTATGCTGAGTGGAGAACACACCCAGCAGAGTGCGAATGGGAGTGGAGGGGACAAAACGAGGAGTACCTCAGGAGCACAGTTGTTTACAGTGAGTATGCTGACCTCCTCCCAAGTGTGCTAGGCAGAGAAAACAGGACCACAAAGATGTCCACACCCTGACCCCTGGAACCTCTCATTACGTACCACACATGGCAAAAGGCGCTGCTGTGCAGATGGGGCTAAGGCTGAGGACCTTGAGGTCTTGAGGTCTACTCTGGCTTATCACAGTGGCGCCACTCTAATCATGGACCCAAAATTGCAGATGAGAAAGGCAAAAGGGGGCCAGGGATGAGTTAGAGGAAGAAGAGCTCCGAAGCATGAAAGGGATGACTCAACCTGCCCCTGCTGGCCCTGAACAGGGAGCAAGGAGGCCAAGGGATGCAAGTGACCTCAAGAAGCGGGACACCCTGAGCAGACAGGCATCAAGGAACCAGGGAGCTCAGTCCTACAACCACAAGAAATGGAGTTCTAGCAACAGCCCAAAGAGCGAGGAAACGGAGCCTCTGCCACGGCCTCCAGAATAGAAGGCAGCCCTTCCAAGACCTTGATTTTAGCCCAGTGATCAGCAGTAAAAGGTAAAATTATAAACTTACATAGCTTAACTTGTTATATTTCTGGTCATTTTATATGGTAGCAACAAAAAGAAAAGCAAATACACGAAGGTTGTACAGACGCCCAAACTAAGATTTTCAAGAGAGGGGATAATTCCCAATTTCAACAGGGAAGAAAGCACAGGTCAACACAGCAACAGAAACTGAGGGGAGAAGGGAGGTGTCAAGAGTTTCTAAGTTCACGGAAGCCTCACCATCACTGCTGTTCTAGAAGGGTACTTAATGTTCCATCAATATCTGCATATGCCTTTTAGAACTAGAGAAAACCTGGAGAATATCACATTCCCTGTGGAACTCGTGTTCCATCTGTGAAAAACTACCAAAGTTCTTTTTCTTCTACCTTTGTCTTCTCTTTTAATTTTTTTTTTGGAGGTTTTTGCTATAGGGTGCATGCGCTCACCAGAAAGAGAGAGGACAGAGAGACAGAAAGCGAGAAATCACCCCGCGGGGGGACGGCCAGACCACAATCCCTTCTCCTCCAATTCTCCTCTTGGGATCTCGGGCTCGCACACACACGCGCCCGGCGTGAGTTTTAAGCCACCGGGTCCGGGACTCAAACCACAGTCGACTACATGGGAGCCATTACACTAACTGCTGGTCCCCCCTTTTAATATTTTTTAAATTGAGACTTATTTTATTTATCTTTTTTTTTTTTTTTTCCCCTACAAGGCACATGTGCTCACCAGAGAAAGACAGAGAGAAAGAGGGAAAGAAATCGAGCTGCCAGGTCCAGTACTCAAACGTGGGAGTCCAGCCCCTTAACCACCACACCACCTGCTGGTTCCAATAAAGCTGTTTTTAGGGACTAGCAGATGGCATAATGGTTGTCGCTGAACTCCCACGTAGTTGACAGCAGCTCAAGTTCCAAACCTGGTAGCTTAAACTCGCCAGGAACGTGTACATGTGTACCCAAGATCCCAAGAGGAGAATAAAAGAAAAGAGGTTGCAGCGTGGCCATCCACCCAGGGGGGTAATTTCTTGCTTCTCTCTCTCTTTCTCTGTCTTTCCAGCTAGCACACGTGCGCTTTAGCGAAAACCTCTCCAAAATGAAAGCTGTTTTTAAAAAAGGATAATGATAATGGGGGTCACAGGTGGCATGGTGGTTAAAGGTGCTGAACTCCCACATGGCCGGCTGCGGTTCAAGTCCTGGACCTGGTGGCTTGCTTTCTCACTTTCTCTCTCTCACTCACTCTGTCCCTATCTGGTCAAAATTTAAGTAAATAAATAAAATAAAGTTAAATAGAATAAATCTTAAAAAAATAATAATAAAAAAAGGAAAACGAAGAGTAGGAATGAAAACGATGAATGTGACAATGAATCAATTGACATGGAAACAGAAAGGAAAAAATGAATAGAAAGTGAGGGTTGAGTTGTAAGCAAGCTGTTAATTCTATTTATTTGTTTGTTTGTTTGTTTGTTTGTTTATTTTTGGCAGACGTTCTTGCTATGAGGGGGAGGGTTCCTCCCTGGATGGCTGTTCTGTCCTAGCTCTCAATCTGGTAATAAATCAGAATCCAAGAACAATACTTTGCCACTGGCCTACGTGACTAAACACTGCTGAGAAACGTGAAAGGTCCAATTCCAGAAACTTCAGTCATATTTCAAGATCCCATTAAATATACACTAGTTCAAATACAAAGCTTTGGGAAAACACTCAGCAGCTGGACAAGCCTGAGACAAAACTGCATTTACCATCACACATTGTCACCAGACTTTAACGGAAAGTGCCAGTTCTCATCAGGGTGGTTGACGGGTCTGTATCGCTATATCACTACTGACGAGGGCCTGTTATGAGACCGCGCATCCTCTGAACCTAATACACACGAGCTTAGCACTAAACAACAACGACAACAAAACACTTTCTTTGACTCACTTTGCAGGTAAATCTTCTTTCTCCAACAAAATTCCCTATTTCTTAGGAGTGGGTACTATGTCTATTTATTCAGATTTACTCCTTTCACACAGCACCTGACACACAGCTGGGGTTACAATAGACATGTTGTTTTTTTTAATAAATAATTATTTTATTTTTATTATTCGTCATTTTTTTTTGTTTTGGAGAGATTTTCACTGTAGGGCGCGTGCGCTCGCCAGACAGAGAGAGACATAGAGACAGAAAGCGAGAAATCACCCCCCAGGGGGGATGGTCACGCCGCAATCCCTTCTCCTCCATTCTCCTCTCGGGATCTTGGGCACACACGCACACGCGCCAGGCGTGAGTTTTAAGCCACCGGGTCCGGGACACGAACCGCGGTCGACTACGTGGGAGTCCAGTGACATAGCCATTACGCCAACTGCTGGTTCCCTTATTCGTCATTTTGACTAGAGAAAGAGAGAGAGAGAGAGAGAGAGCGCGAGCGAGCCACCTAGTCCAAGACTTGAACCACGGTCGGCCATGTGGGAGTCCAGCGCACCACCACACCACCTGCCGGCCCCAGACATGGTGTATTTTTGGCTTGGTATAAAAACAGATTTCTTGGGGCTGGCAGATGACATGGTGGTTGAGGGTGCTGGACTCCCACATGGCTGACTGCAGTTTGAGTCCTGGACTTGGAGGCTGGCTTGCTTTCTTCTCTCTCTCTCGCTCTCACTCTGTCCTTCTCTGGTCAAATTAAAATAAGTAAATAAAGAAATAAAGCTAAATAAAATTATTCTTATAAAAAGATTTCTAAGGATTATTAATTTTATTTGTTTATTTATTTATTTAAAAGAATTATTTAACTTCATTTATTTAATTTGACCAGAGTGAGTGAGTGAGTGAATGGGGGGGATGAGAAAGCGAGCTGCCGGGTCCAGGACTCGAACCACGGTTGGCCACGTGGGAATCAAGCATCCTTAAGCACCACGTCAACTGCCGTTCCCTAATATTCGTTTTTTAAGAGAGATTTTTCCAATAGGGTGCATGCACTTGCCAGAGACAGAGAGACAGAAGGCGAGAATTCATCCCCCCAAGGGGGATGGACAAGCAGCAATCTCTTCTCCATTCTCCTCTTAGGATTATGAGCATGCATATGCATGCACCCAGCATGCGTTTTAAGCCACTGGATTGGGAACTTGAACCATGGTCCAGTACATGGGAGTCCAGCAATATAACCATTATGCCATCTGCTGGTTCCAAGTTATGTATTTTTTTAGTTTTTTTTTTTTAATAATTTTTAGTTTATTATTATTCTAAATTTGATATAGGGCACATGTGCTCACCAGAGGAAAGAGAGAGTGAGAAAGCAAGTCACTAGGTCCAGAACTTGAACCATTATCAGCCATGTGGGAGTTCAGCACCTTAACCATCATGCCATCTGCTGGCCTCCCATATTATTACTTTTTTAATTTGGTATAGGACACAAGCACGGACCAAAGGGAGAGACAGAGAAAGTGAGAAAGCAAGCTGCCAGGTCCAGGACTCAAACCATGGTCAACCAATGTGGGAGTCCAGTGCCTCAACCACCATACCATCTGCCAGTCCGAAACTGAAACTTTTTTTTTTTTCAAAGAGATTTTTGCTATAGGGCACGTCTGCTTGCCAGAGAGACAGAGGCAGAGAGAAAGAAATCAAGAAATCACCGCCCCCCACCCCCACCCCAAGAGGATGGCCACGCTGCAATCCCTTCTCCTCCATTCTCCTCTCGGGATTTTGGGCACGCATGCACACGGCCTCCTGTGAGTTTTAAGCAACCAGGTCCAGGACTGAACCGCAGATGAATACGTGGGAGTCCAGTGACATAACCATTATGCCACCTGCTGGTCCTCAAACTGAGATTTTTAAAAAATAGCTACATTCCCTATTTTTTCTTTGTGATTCTCTACACATATTAGCTTTGGAATTACAGTATAAAATTAAAAAGCTATAAATGTGACAGTCTTTCTTTTAGAAACTTCCGTTTTGAAGTACAGAATAGGTCTAGTGTTAAAATGTTATGGATGCATTATGATCTCTATGTCCTCAGGTTCAGATGGTTTTCAACATGAAAAAAGAAAGACCATAAAGAGATAGAGGCTACTCTCTCCAACTAGAATCACAGGGTAAAAGCTGTTCAGAAAGTCATTAGCTATCTCGGTGCTTTTTTGGCCGGAACCGCCATCTTCCAGTAATTAACCAAAATGACGAACACAAAGGGAAAGACACCCGATATATGTTCTCTAGGCCTTTTAGAAAACATGGAGTGGTTCCTTTGGCAACATATATGCGAATCTACAAGAAAGGTGATATTGTAGACATTAAGGGAATGGGTACTGTTCAAAAGGAATGCCCCACAAATATTACCATGGCAGAACTGGAAGAGTCTACAGTGTTACCCAGCATGCTGTTGGCATTGTTGTGAACAAACATGTTAAGGGCAAGATTCTTGCCAAGAGAATCAATGTGCGTATTGAGCATATTAAACATTCTAAGAGCAGAGATGGTTTCCTAAAACGTGTGAAGGAAAATGACCAGAAGAAGAAAGAAGCCAAAGAGAAAGGTACCTGGGTTCAACTGAAGCGCCAGTCTGCTCCACCCAGAGAAGCACACTTGTGAGAACCAACGGAAAGGAGCCTGAGCTACTGGAACCTCTTCCCTATGAATTCATGGCATGATGGGTGTTAAAAATAAACTAATCTGTGGTCTTTAAAAAGAAAAAGAAAAAAAAAAAAAGAAAGTCATTAGCTATCTTGGAAAAGTAGTCCCCTCTCCACACCAGATGGCCTACAAAGATTCTGGTCAGGGTAAAGACTGAAGGATGGGGACCAGCAGGTAGTGTAATGGCTATGTCTCTGGACTCCCATGTAGCGCACCATGGCTCAAGTCCCAGACCCAGCGGCTTAACCTCACGCCGGGCACGTGGGCCGTGCGTGTCCAAGATCCCAAGAGGAGAATGGAGAAGGGACTGCAGCATGGCCATCCCACCTGGGAGGTGATTTCTCGCTTTCTATCTTTCTGTCTCTGTCTTTCTGGAGAGCGCACACGCCCTATAGCAAAAACCTCTCCAAAAAAAAAAAAAAGACTGAAGGATGGGGGCCATTTTCCAAGAATTCCAGATGCCCCCTCTAAGTAAACATCTGCCGAATCTCTGCATCACCAATTTGTACCATCATAAACACAGGACAAGTTCCACAGATACAGATCTCAGAAGAGGAGCCACGTTAACAGCTGAGAAGGGGAAAATACATCCCACACACATTCATCCTGAATCATCCGATGCCAAGAAAATGTACTCAGCGCTCCTTATGATTTATCCAGCTTCTCGGCCTGTTGGCCTTGGTCTAAACACTTGTTACCATAATACTCTCAACATTCAGGAACTCACCTAAGTATTAGGCACGCCTAACTTCCATGTGAAATTGCTTTAACTTTCGATCTTGCATTACAATGCTTTGTTTTCTTTCTTGTCCTTAATTGTCCTTTTCTTTAAAACTCCTAAATTCACTTCCTAAAATCTTCACAAACCACCTTCAAAAACATTTGGAATTTATCTGTACTTTAAGGGAGAATAATAGCCTATGCTAAGAGAAGCTGTTTCTTCTGGTTCCTAAAGATTAGAACTCTGTGTGTCTATGTCATCAGTCTAGGACTTACTGGAAATTCCAATAATAAGAAAAGTCTTGAGTCAGCCAGTGGCGTGGTAATTAGAGTGGCTAGAACCCACATGGCCAACTTCACGGTTGGAGTCCCAGACCAAGCAGCTTGAAAAGCAGGCCAAGCGCGTGTGCATGCATGTCGAAAATACCAAAGGGAAAACGGAGGCCCAGAGGCTGTGGTGTGGTCATTCCTCCCTAAGCAGTGCTTCCTCACTCTCTTTTTCTCCCTCTAGCGAGCACACATGCTTTACAGCAAAAACAAACAAAACCAGTCCAGACTCTTTTTTTTTTTTTACTTAATTTTATTTATTATTACTTTTAAAATCTGGCCGGAGAGACAGAAAAAGAGCGAGAAAGGGAGAGTGGGAAAGCAAGTCACCATGTCGCGGGCTCCAACCACAGCTGGCCGTGTGAGAGTCCAACACCTGAACCACACCACCCAGCAGCCCCCATCTCGCCTCTTTAAACTTGAGTTTCCCGACTCCAAACCCACTTATCATTCCCACTATATACATTTTCACTTACATTCCTCAAAAAAAAAAAAAAAACAGTAACTACAAACTTCAGGATACACGAGATCTATGATTTCTCAACTATCATTCCCTATAACCTTTACAACATTAAAAAAATATATTTATTTAATTCCATTATTATTGTTGTTATTATTTTTTTAAATTTTACCAGAGAGAGAGAGAATGAGAAAGGGAGAAAGCAAGCTGCCAGATCCGGACTGGAACCACAGCTGGCCATGTGGAAATCCAGTGCCTTTAGCCACCACGCCGCCACCCGCTGGCCCCACTTTACAACACTGTGAGTATGAATGCGTATCCCCGACACATACATTTATGTGATTCTCTTCCGTCATGCGGGAGGCCCACCTCTCAACCACTCGCCACCTGCTGGCCCCTCTGACAAAACTCTTGCTGTCATTTTTATACTCTTTAGAATTCATTCACCACCAGCAGGTGGTGTGGTGCCTAAGGCTCTAGACACTCCCATATGGCAGACCATGGTTCGAGTCCCAGACCCAGTGGCTTGCTTTCTCACGTTTTCTCTATCTCTCTGTGTGTCTCTCTCTATTTAAATTAAAATAAATGAATGAACAAATAAAATTAAATAATTCTTTTTAAAAAGGAATCAGTCCTTTAGCTAGAGAATAATTTATTTTAACATATTTTATTTAAAAGTTATTTGTTTCTTTCATGTGTGGAGGAGAGAGAGACAGAGAAACAAGGGCCTCTGTCAGGGTCCTACCAAGTAGTAATCCTCCCTACGGTCCTCCAGTCTGCCATCATCCTGACATGCTCAGAGCACCAAGAATGTTCTGGTCCACCTAGGATTCAAACGTGAGCCTTCCCATATGGCTCCAGCATCACTAGCAGCGCCCTACCACCTGTGCTATGGTAACTAAACCAATATAGTTTCCTTTTTAATATTTATTTAATTCTGTTTACTATCATTATTTTAATTTGACCAGAGAGAGACAGAGAGAGAGAGAGAGAAAATGAAACAGCAATCTGCCAGGTCCAGGACTCAAACCGTGGTTGGCCACGTGGGAGCCCAGCATCTTAACCAACAAGTTACCTGCTAGCCCCAATATAAATATATCAATTTCCCCATTTCTTTTTGTTTATTTATTTATTTATTCCCCAGATTTTGCCATAGGGCATGGGTACTCACTGGAGAAAGAGAGGCAGTGAGAAGGAAAGTGAGAAATCACCCCACAGGGGGAATGGCCATGTCACAATCCCTTGTCCTCCACTCTCCTCTCAGGATTTTGGGCATGCATGCACACTCGCCCTGGGTGATTTCCAAGCCTCAGTCTGCAGTAGGCCATGTGGGGGTCCAGCACAGCACCTTAACCACCACGCCCCCTGCTGCCCCTCTCTTCGTTAATTTTTTTTTCCTTTTAAAGAATTACTTATTCAATTTTATTCATTCATTTTTTATTTTATTTATTTATTTTTAATTTGACCAGAGGGAGACAGAGAGAGAGAGAGAGAGAGAACATGTGAGAAGGCAAGCCACCAGGTCCAGGACTCAAACCGTGGTTAAGCCATGTGGGAATGTCCAGCACCTTAATCACCACGCCACCTGCTGGTCCCCATCTCTCCTTTACTCTTAACTGCTTCATGTCGCTGAATTCATGCAACCGAAGTACACTAGCTGGAAAAAGATTATAAGACGTCATCCTCACACCTATACAAGAAGTCTATCCAATGCCAAGTTCTCTCAAAGCAGCACCCCAGGAACATCAATTAACAGCCTCTTACAAGCTTGCAGAAAAAAACCTAAGACTGTCTCAAGCAGGACACACGCGGGACAGATTCTGGCAGAGCTCTCTCCGCTAAAGGCACCCGCGCTGGGTCAGCTCAGGACCGGGTCGCAGCAGAGCATATGCCCTGAGCTCAAGGCCAGTTTCAGCAGAGAGCACCTGCGAGGCCCTACCTCGCCCCCTGTGTGCACCGGAGACAGGACGCAACAGACAGGAGGCGGCTGAGGGGGCGGCCCAAAAGCATGGTGCTAAAGGGTCTCGACTCGATCCGCAAGGACGTGGGGCGCTGTCAAGTCTTTAAAAAGGGCAGTGGCACGGTCAGGGCCGCGCACTCTCAGTGACAAGTGGGGCCTGGAACGGAAGCGGAGCCGGAAGGCAGGAAGACCACGGGAGTAGAAAACGCGGAGGGACACAGGGGCGGCCGTGTCTGGGCAAAAGACTCGCTAACGGTCCGGGGGTGGAAATGGGACCGACAAGCTCGGCCGAGGACAGAACCCCACAGAGACTCCCCAGCGGGGCCGAGAGGAGAAAGGTGGGGCCTGAAGGAGGAAGCGAACCCCAGCGAGTGCCGCAGGCTCGGAAGAGTCCCCTCGAAGCTCCTCCGCGGCCTCCCGCCTCCCCACCTCCCCTGCTAGCCCGCTGACCGAACGAGTTGAGAAAGTCCGCGATTTTCTTGATGCTGCTGGTGATGACCTCAATGTACTCCCGGTTCGCCCAGTCCTGGTGAATCTCCCGCTGCACCGGATCCTCTTGCCCCGCCATGGCGTCCGTCTAATGCATGAAGAGCGACTGCGCAGGCGCGACCCTACAGGTCGCCAGTGCGCCTGCGCTACCAGCCCACGCCCATCAGCCGGTGTCGGCGAATCCGTGGGCATTGTGATGCGCCTGCGCAGTCCCACGTCGTCGCCTGCGTTTTCTCTGGGCTCCCAAGCCCGGGAAAACAGGTGCTCAACTCCGAGGGCGGGGGATGGAGTGCGCATGTGTCAGGAGCCGCACACCCACGCGTGTCACTTGCTCTTGTGGTTCAGGGGTACGTGGGCTTGTGAGATCTGCAGCCGCGGAAAGCTAGGGTTGAGAAGACTTGGTCAGCAATAAGATGGGCAGAGCTGAGTAAAGTGCATTAAATACAAGTCAGTTTAAAAATGCCTTTGGGGGGAACCAACAGTTAGCGTAATGGCTATGTCGCTGGACTCCCACGTAGTCGACCATGGTTCGCGTCCCAGACCCGGTGGCTTAAAACTCACGCCGGTGGGTGTGCGTGCCCAAGATCCCGAGAGGAGAATGGAGGAGAAGGGATTACGGCGTGGCCATGCCCCCTGGGGGGTGCTTTCTCACTTTCTGTCTCTCTGTCTCTCTCTGTCTTTCTGGTGAGCTCATGCGCCCTATAGCAAAAACCTCTCCACAAACAAACAAAACACCACTGTGCAATAAAAACTAAAATACTGCAGTGCCAGGCTCTACCATAGACAGGCCCCAGGGACGTAGGGATCCTCCTCTCTCTTCCTCAAGCAGTCCAGGGCAACTGTTTGAATTGATGCTGACAACCATGTCAAATTGCTCTTTCAACTAGAGGGAGTGTTTTTCCCATTGTCATAATGGAACACATTTTTTTTTCTTTTAATTTTAACAGAAAACAAAGGTTTGGGGCCAAAAAGTCAAAGAAGCACACATGTATCTTTCTCTTGCTCTTGACAGGTGAGCGTTTATAAACTATGTCTTCTTGTACTGAACTCATTTCTTTTTTCTTTTTTTTGGAGAGGTTTTTGCTATAGGGCGCGTGTGCTCGCTAGAAAGAGAGAGACAGAGAGACAGAAAGGGAGAAATCACCCCCCAGGGGGGATGGCCATGCCACAATCCCTTCTCCTCCCTTCTCCTCTCAGGATCTTGGGCACGCACGCACACGCACCTGGCATGAGTTTTAAGTCACGGGGTCCGGGACTCAAACCGCGGTCCACTACGTGGGAGTCCAGCGACATAGCCATTACACCAACTGCTGGTCCCTGTACAGGACTCATTTCAATAAAGCAACAAAAGCCTCTCGGGCTCTGGGTCACTCAGCCTGACTATCCAATGAGCATGAGATTATGAAGAGAGATGAACATTTTAAAATTCCATTTGTTATTTTTTTTTTAAAAGAATTATTTAACTTTTATTTTATTTGACCAGAGAGAGAAAGTGAGAAAGCAACCTCCAGGTCCAGGATGCGAACCATGATTAGCCATGTGGGAGTTCAGCACCCTTAACCACCGCCACCTGCCGGCCCCTATAATCATTGACCAGAGAGAGACAGAGAGAAAGGGAAAGTAAAATATCAAGTTGCCAGGTCCGGGACTCGAACCACAGCGGGCCATGTGGGAATCCAGCGCCTTTAGCCATCATACCACCTGCCGGCCTCTAGAGACTAGCTTTGAATACCAACAGGTGCTGAGACGTTCATGTGGGTCCCTGGCCACAGTCTTTGACGTGCGGTGGTGTCTGTGTTCCCGAACCTGAGTACAAACGCAGGTATTGCGGAGCTGTGGGACGAGAACGCAGGTGGCATAGAACAGCCTGCCCTTCTGAAGTCCGAGGCCGGGGCGGGGCATTCCAAGGTGGGGTGGAGCTCAGCCCCGACCCTCCCTGCGCGGGGACCCTCGGGCTGCCCTTCCCCTGCCGCTGTCTCCCCGCTCTCTCCCCAGCTCTCGAGGTTCGGACTCCCTCGGTCACAAAGGCGGTTGCCAGGCGCTCAGTGGACTAAAGATGCGACCCGGGGAACAGTGGCCGCCACTCTGGAGCGTGAGGTCAGCAGGTGAGCCCCTGGCCCGGATGGTGGGACCGGCCGGGCTCCACCGCCTCCTCCACCTTTTGGTCTTCGCCCTGGGGTAGGGACCCCTTCTTTCAGCAGGGAGGGAGAGCTTCGGGCATCCCGGGCAACTCCGGCCCCTAGGAAGACCTCCGCTGCACCTCGTGCTGCCTTCCCCTTGCCCAGGTGGGGACTCGAGGGACCGGGACCCTTGGAATTGTAAGAATGGTGTGAAGAGACGTTTTTGGCCAGGAGAACCGGATGTCTCCTCTACTGGAGCAGCTCTAAGACTTCCTAGGTTCGAGCCCTTCTGGAGTGGCTGGAAGACCATGGCTTCAGGAGTGGGGATGGGGTGAACCATCTTAAGCTGTGTGAAGGAGCTGAAAGATTCGGTTCAGAATACTTATTCTGTATTGATTCTGTTGAATATTTTTCCTTCCTTTTCTTTTTTTATTTTTTTGTCGTTGTTGTTAGGCTTTTGTCATACGGACAAAGAGAGGGAAAATGAGAAATCACCCCCTAGGGGATGGCCACACCACAATCCCTTCTCCATTCTCCTCAGGATTTTGGGCATGCAAGCACAAGTGCCAGGCATGATTTTTTTTTTTTTTAGAGAGATCTTTTTTTCTACTTCAAGAATTATTATATTTAACTTTATTTATTTATTTATTTATTTATTTATTTATTTATTTTAACTTGACCAGAGAGGGACAGAGTGAAAGAGAAAGAGAGGGAAAGTGAGAAAGCAAGCCATGAGGTCCAGACTCAAATCACAGCCAGCCATGTGGGAGTCCAGCACCCTTAACCACCACACCACCTGCCAGCCCCTATAGGGCATGTGAGCTTGCTGGAGAGACAGAGACAGCAGGAAATCACCCCCCAGGGGGACTGGCCATGCCACAATCCCTTCTCCTCCATTCTCCTCTCTCAATTTTGGGCATGCACATAGACCCACCCTGAATGAGTTTTAAGTTGCCAGGTCCAGGACTTAAACTGCAGTCCACTACGTGGGAGTCCAGTGATATAACCATTACATCTGCTGGTCACAACCTAGTGTGATTTTCAAGTTGCCAGGTCCGGGACTTGACCTGTGGTCAGCCATGTGGAAGTCCAGCACCTTAACCACCAAACACTTGCTGGCTACAGTTCTGTCAAATACTTTGGCTAGACATTGAACAAAGCCTTTTACCTCTAGCTCTATTTTTTAAAATTTTAATTTTACTGTCATTATTTTTTATATTTTATTGTCTTGAAGTTGACCAGAGAGAGACAGCAAGAGAGAAGGAAAGCAAGAAAGCAAGCTGCCAGGTACAGGACTCGAACTGTGGTCAGCCATGTGAGTCCAGATGCCTTAACCACCATGCCACCTGCTGGCCCCCTTCTGGTTCTATTTTTGAGATTGATCATGAATGCGTTCCTGACATTAATTTTTTGGGTCATATGCTCAGAGGAACTAATATCCTCCATCCCCACCTTGCATTGGTGGTATACCAGAGTAGCCGTGATACGGATATATGCTCTAAAGGTCAAAATACCAAGCGAAGAGGGGCGAGCAGGTGGTATGGTGTTTAAGGGAGCGGGACTCCCACATGGCCGACGATGGTTCAAATCTTGGACCTGGTGGCTTGCTTTCTCACTTTCCCTCTCTCTCTCTCTCTCTTTCCGGTCAAATTTAAAAAATAAAATGATGGGAACCAGCAGTTAGCGTAATGGCTATGTCGCTGGACTCCCACGTAGTCGACCGCTGTTCGCGTCCCGGACCCGGTGGCTTAAAACTCACGCCAGGCGCATGTGCGTGCGTGCCCAAGATCCCGAGAGGAGAATGGAGGAGAAGGGATTGCGGCGTGACCATCCCCACTGGGGGATGATTTCTTGCTTTCTGTCTCTATATCTCTCTCTGTCTGTTTGGCGAGCGCATGCGCCCTATAGCGAAAACCTCTCCAAAAATAAATAAATAAATAAATAAATGAATGAATGAATGAAATGAAATAATTCTTTTTTAAAACTTTTATTTATTTATTCATTTATTTTTTTAATTTGACCAGAGAGAGAGAGAAAGCAAGCCACCAGGTCCAGGACTTGAACCATGGTCAACCATGTGGGAGTCTCTAGCACATCAACCACCACACCACCTGCTGGTCCCAAAATTAAATACTTCTTTTTTAAAAAATTATTTAAATTTGACCAGAGAGAGAGAGACAGAGACAGAGACAGAGAGATAAAGGGAAAGTGAGAAAGCAAGCCACCAGGTTCGGGACTCGAACCATGGTTGGCCATGTGGGAATGTCCAGCACTTTATTTTTTATTTTTTGGAGAGGTGTTTGCTATAGGGCATGTGCGCTCGCCAGACAGACAGAGAGAGACATAGAGACAGAAAGCAAGAAATCACCCCCCGGGGGGATGGTCATACCGCAATCCCTTCTCCTCCATTCTCCTCTCGGGATCTTGGGCACGCACACACATGCACCCAGCGTGAGTTTAAGCCACCAGGTCCGGGACATGAACCACATTCGACTACATGTGAGTCCAGCGACATAGCCATTATGCTAACTGCTGGTTCCCCCAGTCCAGCGCTTTAACTACCATGCCACCTGCTGGTTCCAAAAGTAAATAATTAAAAAAAAAAAATAAGATACCAAGCAAAGAACTTTTCGCAGGCTGTTTGGAATAGATAAGTGTCCCCTGGGTATGCATTTCATTCTAAGGCAGCGCAGACCATTGAACAATTACTAATTTGCCAAGGAACTCCCAAGACGATGAAACTAGTTAAGGAAATCTTCCTTATACTAACCATCATCAGGGCAGTTCTTTCTGGTTTGAAATGTTACTAATTTTCCAAAACATGACCTTTTTCGTCACACAAACTATGGCGGAGATGTCACTTTTCACGGTATTTCTGGGGCAATTACTGGACGGGATGACATAAGATCTGCCACTGTTACCTTTGTGGGAGGAGGGGCAGAGAAATACACTGTCTGGAAAGAAAAGGGACCTGCCATGGCCCTAACATGACAGGACGGTGCTCAGGAATGGTTAGCTTCTCCTACACTCCATAACCCCCTATACATTGGCGATTTTAAAGTAGAATGTGGAGAAATCTAAATTCAACTCAGACACACTTTGAGTTGGCAATATCCTCTCAGCCTCTTCCCTTATCTCAAAGGGAAAAAAAAAAATCAAGATCTTAACTCTTGGGTTTCCAACAGATGAAAAACATTACAATTAAACAACTCACATCTAGGAAAACAAGGACACTTTAACAATTTTCGAAATTATTTTAAAATTTTATTCATTGTCATTATTTGAAGTTGACGAGAGGAGAGAGAGAGAGACGAGAGAGAGAGAGAGAGAGAGAGAGAGAGAGAGAGAGAGAGAGAGAGAGAGAGAGAGAGAGAGAGAGAGAGAGAGAGAGAGAGAGAGAAAGTGAGAAAGCAAGCTGCCAGGTCTGGGATTTGAACTGAGGTTAGCCATGTGTGAATCCAGCAGCCTTAACCACCACACCACCTGCTGGCCCCAACATTTTAACAATTTAGAAAAATTTTTTTTTGGAGAGGTTTTTGCTATAGGGCACATGCGCTTGCCAGAAAGAGACAGAGACAGAAAGTGAGAAATCACCCCCCAGGGAGGATAGCCACACTGCAATCCCTTCTCCTTTCAACTCTTGGGATCTTGGGCACGTACACACATGTGCCGGCATGAGTTTAAGCCACTGAGTCTGGGACTTGAATCGTGGTCGAATACATGGGAGTCCAGCGACATAGCCATTACGCCAACTGCTGGTCCAACAAGTTTTAAAGACTGGCCTTTGTAAAGATTTTTCTCTCCCAGGCTGATGTCACTTCTGTAAGGAGGTACTTACTTATCCCAGGCTGTGAAGGCTGCTCCCTTGTGTCAGAAAATACAGAGTTCTGGGACCAGCAAATGGCATAATGGTTATGTTGCTGGACTCCCATGTAGTTGACTGCAATTTTGAGTCCTGAATCCTGCAGCTTAAAATTCACTCTGGGCATGTGTGTGTGCATGCCCAAAATCCCAAGAATGGAGAAGGGATTGCTGCATGGTCATTTCCCCCCGGGGGGAGAGGGTGTAGATCTCTTGCTTTCTGTCTTTCTCTCTGGGGAGTGCACATGCCCTATAGCAAAAATCTCTCTCATGAAGAAAAAGAAAATACAGACTTTTACGGCCAAGAGGAGTCTGTCTCCATAATCAAGAATAGCAAAAGCTAAAGTTGCATAGAAAGATAGACATGTTTTTTCTTTTTTAAAAACCTTGTTTTTATTTATTTATTCATTCGTTCATTTTTAATTTGACCAGAGAGAGACAGAGACAGAGAGAGAAAGAAAGTGAGAAAGCAAGCCACCAGGTCCAGGACTCGAACCATAGTCGGCCATGTGGGAGTGTCCAGCACCCTTAACCACCACACCACCTGCTGGTCCCTAGACATATGTTCTTAAACCAGAAGGTACAACACAGTCCTTGGAGGGTTAGTATAAATGCAGTGAATGGGCCGTATCTCGTTTTGATTCTATAGGTCTGAGTGGAGCCCAAGAATCCCCATTTCTACCAAGTTCCCAAATGATACTGAAGCTGCTAATTCAGGGATCATACTTTTAAAAATAATTATTTAATCTTACTTATTATTATTTTTTAAACTTTATTTACTTACGATTTTTTAAAAATTTGACCAGAGGGACCACCAGTTGGCATAATGGCTATGTCACTGGGCTCCTATGTTGTTAATCATGGTTCGTGTCCCAGACCCGGTGGCTTGAAATTCACACTGGGTGCGCGTGCGTGCATGCGTGCCCAAGATCTTGAGAGGAGAATGGAGAAGGGATTGCAGCATGGCCATTCCCCCGGGGGGTGATTTTTTGCTTTCTGTCTCTTTCTGGCGAGCGCATGTACACTACAGAAAAAAACCTCTCTACCAAAAACAAAACAAAAGAAAACAAAAATTGACCAGAGAGGGGGACAGAGTGAGAGAGAAAGAGAAATAAAGAGGGAAAGCGAGAAAGCAAGCCGCCAGGTCCGGGACTCGAACCATGGTTGGCCATGTGGGAGTCCAGCACCGTAACTACCACGCCACTTGCTGGCCCCCAGGGTCATATTCTGAAAACCACTGGTGTAAAGAATATGGGCTTAGAGTCACAAGTATTTCTAAGACGTGGCCTTTCTGAGCTCAGAATCTTCGCATCATGAAGTCCCAGCAACCCTTGACTTGGCAGATTTTGTCACTAGCAGCTCCCAATACGGCATAGGCCGGACATTTTCTCATCTGGAAGACAGGCTAAAACTTACCTTGAGAGGCTTGGGATAAGGTGTGAGGAAGTTTCAGTACATCTAGCAGTTGCTAGAGTCAATACTTGTTACATCCCCTACCCTTCCTAGGATTACCAATACCCCCTTACCTATTGGAACGTGTTCATGAGAACTACAGAGTAAGCTGAAGTCAGTAATGAGCCCAAGAGATCTGAGTTTGAATGGCCATGCCCTTACGGAAAAGCATGCCAGGGAAACCCTATGTTCTGATTCCTCTCTTTAGGACTGTCATGGCAGGATACCAGCTCTGGTCACCATGGACCCCCCTGGACGAGAGCTTCCAATGGCTACGGCACACCACCCCTACCCCTTCCTCCAAGCACCCCTTTAGGGCCTCCCCCTGCTTTCCCCACACTCCCTCCGACCTTGAAGTGCAGTTGTGCTTTCAAGAGGTCACTCTAGTCCTAGATAGCCCCCTCCTGGAAACTGGGGTGAGCCCCAAGTTACCCTGCCACACATCGGCGCTCCGAACCGTCAACAACAAGAAAGGGCTGGTCAGGAAGCCCCAGCCTATCCGCCTCAGTGGAGTAGACTCTGTCTTTGGCAGGGTCATCACTGCGCAGCCGCCAAAGTGGACTGGGACCTTCAGAGTTTCAGACAAGTCGGCCTTCTGCAAAATCATCAGCAGGGAGCACCAATGGCCCACTGGACTCAAGGAGCCTCAGATTCAGATGACGGTGACCATGTGTAAGCAGATGCTGCGCTCCATCCTCTTGCTGTATGCCACATACAAGAAGTGCACCTTTGCTCTGCAACACTCCAAGTAAAGGGGCCCCTCTGGATCCCCAGTCCTTCAACCATGCCGTTTGGTACGTTACCTCGAGTTTACAGAAACCTGTCTGTGTAAACAAATCTGTGACGGTGCCCCAGCCATCTTGCTTTTCTGTTAAGGAGTGACAATTCGGGAGCCCCATTCTTCATTCCCTGCAAAAATAAAAAAAGGGGCCAAAGAAACAGAACAAGGGAGAACTCAGCTATTATAAGGTTGAACAACCATTTAATGGAGAGTTGAACTAGTGTCAATGGTACACGTGATAAGGAACCATTGAAAGAACCGTACAAACCAGTCAGCCTGGGAACTCATTGAAACCCGTAAGATCACAATGAGTTGGGGAAATAAAGGCCTGTCAAATGAGATGTATAGATTTCTTTTTTTTTAACATTTTATTTATTATTTTTCAATTTGCTATAGGGCACATCATGGTGAGGCGGGGGTAGAGAAAGAAAGAAAACAAGGTGCCAGGTCTGGGACTTCAGCTACCCACAGCCATGTGGGAGTGCGGGGGGCCCCAACTACTCTGCCATCTGTTGACCTCGAGATTTATAGATTTCTATGTACTAGAGGAAGGGGTCAAAAATCTATGTTGGTCAGGATTCGTTTAAAAAAATAGGGACCAGGGCCAGCAGGTGGCATGGTGGTTAAGGGTGCTGGACTCTCCTACATGGCTGAGTGCAGTTCGAGTCTTGGACCTGGCGGCTTGCTTTCTCACTTTCCAACCCCTTCTCTCTCACTGTTCCTCTCTGGTCAAATTAAAATAAATAAATAACATTAAATAAGATTCTTCTTAAAAAAAAAAAAATAGGGACCAGCAGATGGCGTATTGGTTACATCGCTGGACTCCTGTGTAGTCAAATGCAGTTCAAGTCCCAGAACTGGCAGTTTACGGCTCACACCAGGGGGGTACCAGCAGGTGGCATGGTGGTTAAGGCGCTAGACACTCGCACATGGTTGACCATGGTTTGAGTCCCAGATGTGGTGGCCTGCTTTCTCACTTTCCCTCTTTCTCTCTCTCTCTGGTCAAATTAAAATAAACAAATAAATGAGTGAATAAATAAAATAAAATTAAAATAATTATTAAAAAAAAAAAAAAACCTCAACATCAGGTGCATGTGTGTGCACAATCCCGAGGAGAATGGAAAAGGGATTGTGACATGGCCATGTTTGGGACGGGATTGGGTGGTGGTGGGGGGGGCATGATTTCTCTCTTTCTGCCGAGTACATGCACCATATAGCAAAAACTTCTCTTAGAAACAAATAACCTTTCCCCACTGAAACAACCACCACCTTACTAGCCACACCCTAGTGGCGTGGTGGTTAAGGCATTTGACACTCCCACGTGGCAGATCATGGTTCAAGTACCAGAGCTGGTGGTTTGCTTTCTCACTTTCTTCCTCTCTCTGTGTGAAATTAAAATAATATGTCTGTCTCTGGTCAAATTAAAATAATTAATAAATGAATAAATAAAATTAAATAAGCTAATTCTTTACAAAATTAATAAATATTAAATAATATTTACCATTTGCCAAGAAAGAACTGGGTAGCAGCACTATAACAGGGCCTTCTGGCAGAAGACAGGAGAGTCCCCCATTAGCTGAAATTTACTCCTAATATTCTATTTCCAACAGACTACAAATAATTTTGTAGCATTCTTTTTTTTTCCCCCAGAGAGATTTGTTATGAGGCACATGCGCTTGCCAGAGACAAAGAGAAAGTAAGAAATCACCACTTTTCCTCCATTCTCTTGGGATTTCAGGCACACACACACACACCTGGTGTGAGTTTTAAGCCTCCAGGTCCAGAACTCAAACCACGGTCAATTATGTGGGAGTCCAGTGATGTAACCATTACACCAACTGCTGTTCCCTGTAGAATTATTGTTTTTAAATTTATTTAACTTTATTTATTTTAATTTGACCAGAGAGGAACAGAGTGAGAGAAAGAGAGAGAGAGTGAGAGAAAGCAAGCCACCAGGTCCAGGACTTGAACTATGGTCAGCCATGTGGGAGTCTAGCGTTTCCAACCACCACGCCACCTGCCAGCCCATGTGGCATTCTTATAAGTAGATCATAAGCATAACTCAGAAAAATGCGGAAAACACACACACACAGAGTCAACATGAGTTCGACACTCTCCTTTGAGTTTTACTAATACAACCAAACAAAACACAGCCAAAACAGTCTTTTATACTTTCTGGGGATGATAGCGAAACGCTCAAATCATCCCTCCAGGAAGAGCGCAAAAGCCTGCCCATCTCAAATGAAGATGGTCCCTGTGACAGAAACATGACTGATGGTTAGAACCAGGGTAGCACCGGTCTCCATAACTTTTCTGCACAAATCTCAGTTCAATCCCATCTAATCTTTAAATAAAGAAGGAAATCCAGAAAGAGGAAAGACGGAGCCAAGACAGAACTTGCAACAGAGTTTATTTGTAAAACGGGTACAAGCCTAAATTTTAGAACAAACCAAAGTGTTTCAAAACTAGCTTCCAAAGTCCAGAACCATGACTCGGCATTTTTACACTACAGTGTAGCACTGTCATGTTTATCCAAACCAATAAATAACCGTACACTGGAATCCTGAGTCAGGGATTGATGTTGTTAGACCACCTATGAAACCACAATTCAATTAAAAAACAAAGGCCCCTCTTCGAGGACAAAGCAGGATGCTCCTGGTTAGAAAGGCAGACAGACTTCAAACCCTAGAAACAAAGTGGGAATGGCATGGGTGGGGAAGGGAGGCAGCAGTCTCTGCGGTCTATTCAGAGTCGTCGTCTATCTCATCACTATCCTGCTCCTCTTCTCCATCACTTATGTCTTCTTCACCATCCTACGGGGAAAAGACGCATGTTTTAGTGTGCTGGGTGACTCCAGGAGTTGCTGTAAGGCTCCTATAAGACTGTAAATGTACAGTCGTACTGTTGTTGTTAAACCAATGTTAGGTTTTTTCTTTTTTGAAAGAATTATTTAACTTTATTTTTTTACATATGACCAGAGAGGGACCGAGCAAGAGAGAGAAAGAGAGAGTGAGAAAGCAAGCTACCAGGTCCAGGACTCGAACCATGGTCAGCCATGTGGGGGTTTAATGCACTTAACCACCACGCCACCTACTGGCCCCACCAATGCTAGATTTTTAACCATTTGAATCAGAGGCTCTTCCAGTCTTCCTGGCATCATGAACTCTTAAGCCAAGACCATTGGAAGGAGCTCATTTTGATTGACTCATGCCATCCTGCAATGGAACCACATTTCCATGATTTTTAAATAGGGCACTGAACTCCCACATGGTGAACTCAAGTCCCGGAGCTGGCGGTATGTTTTCTCACAAAAATAAATAAATAAATAAATAAAATTAAATAAATGTTCTTTTTAAAAAAGGTTTAACTCATTATTTTCAGCACTGTAGGGGGGAATAATCTAGCCTCTTCTCCCTTCCAAGATGGTTACACATATGAGTTCATGGAAGACAGGTTATAATGGAAGAGAATTTTCAACTACTCAACATCTGACACAACTTGAGATACTCAAGAATGACTCTAAGATTGCGAGACTGCTTTATCTAGGCCACACAATTCATATGAGCATAGCAACTTTTTTTTGAAGTGAAAAATCACCACCCAGGATGGATGGCCATGCCAAAAGCCCCTCTCCTCCATTCTCCTCCTGGGACCCTGGACATGCACACACACGTGCTCAGCGTGACCTCCAAGCTGCCAGGTCCAGGACTTGAACCATGGTCAGCCATGTCAAACTGTGGTCAGCCATGTGAAGTCCAATCTCTTAACAACCACGCCACCTGCTGGCCCCCGCAACTTTTTAAAAAATTTTCTGGAGGGCATCTGTACTTGCCAGAGTGTAGGAGAAAGGAAAAGTCAGACAGCCCTCCATGGGAGATGGTCATGTGACAATTCCTTCTCCATCTCTCTCTCCTGTCAGGATTTTGGGCATGTATGCACACACCCCTGGCATGTTTCTCGAGCCTCCAGGTCAAGAACTTGAATCCCCTGAATGACCACATGAGATCCAGCTGCCTTAACCCTTAACCATCACGCCACTGGCTGGCCTTAAGCTTAGCAATTTTCCTGAAAGGTATGGAAATGGGTATAGATACATTTGCTGATCAGCGTAAGAGGGGAAATTTCTGCCCTCTCTACCAACTCGGAACAGCTAACGAGATGCCAGATGCTAAGATATGGCTGTTGCAGAGGTACCTCCGTCGTTTTGCTCTTGGAGACCTGGGATGACGTGTCATCCTCCGTGTCATCTGCTGTGCTCTCCTGAGAATTCTGGGACATAATCTCTTCACCCTAAATGTGGATGGACCAAGACAAAGGGTGACTTATAAAGAGTTTCAGGGTAGAGACTAGTTTAAGATCAACGCAAAGGGAGATATTCTAGCCTTTCAAAACACAGTCAAACATGAACACCAACTTGTGATCTAGCATCTAGAGAGGAGATATTCAACCCTAGGTTTCTGAGAGGGCTGTGAACCAAATAAAATATGTAGTTCTACAAAAGCTGTAGTCCAGCTTTGTATTCTAGCATCATATGAGATTTTTCAAGACCAGACTGTATTGGTGTCTTCAGCCAGTGTTGAAAGTGGTTCTAACTTCCAAATACTTATGATACATTAGCACAAATGGCCACGTGGAGGCTCAGGATAGCACAGTGAAGTGGGTGGAGATTAGCAGCTCCGGATCAGAAGGGCCTGGACTCTAACCTGGGCTCCACTTGTAATTGAATAACCTTACGGAAGTTACTTCTGTGGGCTTTGATTTTCTTGCAAGACAATAGTATTTACCTTATAAAGCTGAAGCAAAGAAAGGAAGCTAATTCTCTGTGGTGCTTGTCATATATAAAATTCAAAAGTATAAGCATGAATGAGGACTTGGACCCCATGTAAAAATGTTGTAACTCCAAAGCAGTGCTGCAAGCAACACACGATTTCCGCCAGACAATTGAAAGATGTTAGAAAAGCTAATGTGCTAGTTAGCCAGAGAATAATTTCAGGAATCAGATAGACTGGCTTAAGGGAAACAACTCAAAATAATCGAACAAAAAAGTCTGTCCATATACAAAAATGTTATGAACCTACTGAGCATTCAGCAAGACTTAAAGATGCCCCTTGGCTGTGGAGAGAGGTCTGTACTGACGTGGCTTCCCTAGCTCAGAGGCCTCGATTATAGCCATGGCATGTTTTGGTGCCTTCACTGCCCAAGATGGGGGTACGGTCTGTGAACAGGGTCTGTACACAATGTACCCTAACCTTAGGAATTGAATTGTCACAAACTGAATATAAAATGGTGTTACTGAGAGAAAGGGTTTAGGCGAGCTGCCTTCCACCTTTGGACACTCTCACAAAGAGCGGGGGATTTTCTCCGACAAGGTCCAAGGCTCACCTGCAAGTCCCGATTTTTGAGATTGCCCAGCCAGAAAGCCTCTCTACAATTGTTGAGGATAAGCATGGCTTTGACTCTGCAAACTAACAGCTCAAGGGTCTTTTTGAGCAAAGGCACATGTTTGGTGAGTCTTGTATCCTGGTGAATCTGAAAGGAAATAAATACACTGTCTTGTCTGGGTTTTTCATCATGCGTTTACATTGTTATACAGAAACCTTCCAAATCCAGAGCCCCTGAACACTGAACACAAGTGTAAGTCCTGCCAACAGGGACCAGAGACGCAGCCCATCAAACCGTCACGTGGCTGAGCACTCCAAAGAGAACAGCAGCTGAAAACCTCAAAGCCGAGAAGACATACCACCACCACCTCAGGCTCCGTTACACCCTTCCTGACCAATCACCCAGCAATCTACCTCAGATATTCTTGCTCGTGCATTATACTGATGTTAGACAATGGAGAGTGGCCCTCTGTAGCCGAGAGAGCCCTTAACATTCCACTGTTCAACACCTTCTAAACTTAGAACCAGGGGAGGAAGTGAGCAATAGGAACTGGACTGAAAAGATCATTTTATTATGAGTGAGTGCGGAACTCTACAATTCTGTGTTCTTTCAGACAAAAAGTGACGACAGTTCGACTACCTAAGATGGCTTCAAGTAAAAAAGTCCTTTAATGCTAAAATGTTCTCACAAGAGACAAATATATTATCCTTGACAAGAAGTACAGCTGGAAAGCTCCAAAGACGGCTGCGTCAGCACAGCCTCTTGTCTCCAGTAGCCACCCCTTACATAATACTCCTCCCACCCACAGCACTTTGCAGCACTAACACCTTATTCAGCATTTTGAACTTCTCTCCCAAGAAGAGGTTCTAGAGGAACAGGACTCTAGAGAAGGATGCAAACATTCCCCTCTCGATGGTTGCGCAATTTGAAGTAGCAACAGAGCATCTGACCCTGCTGAAAAAACTGTCTTTGGACAGACACAATATTATAAAGGCTCAAGAAGGGAAAAGGCTCGAGAAGGGAAAAGGGGCAGAAATAACTGGACCAGTGGGTTCTCCAGTAGCAATGCAGGTCAAGTCACCAGGAGGGCTGGTGTCATGACCTGCTGACGCTCTTACCTTGGAATGCCCACACAGGTGATGAAGCAGCCTTGTGTCCAGCTGGAAGGTTTCCAGTAAGCTCAGAACATCTTCCTATAAGCAACAACATTCATAAATGCTATATAAAATGTTCTGAGTTCACTTTAGATGCAAGATGTTCTTATAATCACGGGCTCCAAAGAGGATAAACTCTGTAGGCTCCAGCATATAATCATCTTAACTTGGCTCCCAAATACAAATGCTGGCCAACTCTCATTCTCAACACTACTTCTGTCCATTGTGTAATTCTGAAAGTTAGAAGACCTGAGTTCTCATTTTAACTTGACAAGTCCGTTTTTCCACTTGCAACATTAGGATGAAACAGCACCTCCTTTTTCTTTCAGGGTTATGAGGTCCTGAACCTGGTGGCTTAAACTCACTCTGGGTGCATGTGCATGCATGCTCAAAATCCCAAGAGGAGAACGGAAGAGAAGGAAGGGATTGTGGTGTGGCCATTCTTCCTTGGGGGTGATTTCTTGCTTTCTGTATCTTTGTTTCCCCAGAGATCGTACATGCCCGGTAACAAAAATCTCTCTAAATAAACAAACAAACCAAATTCAACTTGCTAAGTTTAACTATCATTCTTATTTTCCTACTCTAGTGCTGGACGGCAAATGGCTAAAAAAACCTATCAAGACAGTTCGTTATAATAGCAGAGAGTTTTATAACACAAATGAGTTCTGTTTTTTAATTCTTCCTAAAAGTAGGCCCAAAGAAGCACAAAATAACAAGTACGTGATACATGAGGTCCTGGGAGTGCAGCAGCACAGTACAGCCAAGCTCCAAGGAGCGACGGCCCTGAGATGTGGAGTAGAATAACGGGGAGGTCTGCACCGCGAGGTCTGAGGAGTTTAGCCCACTCTAGGCATCTCGGGCTATGGCTGAAGTGGACCAGAGGTGTCCAAGCAGGACTGTGGCCCAGAACATCAGCAAGGGGACTCTCCCGCCCCAGCCCCAACCCAGGAGTCACTATGGACATATCTCCTAACACGAAGGCATGACTGTTCGCTGCTCTCGGCTCTTACCCGGTGCTTTTTAAAACTGAAGTCTAGGAGCGGCATACACTGCTTCAGGAATGCTTCCACAAAGAGACGTCCATACTGAAGAAGAGAGACACTTGGTGACCTCCAGCTCAAAGGTCTCTGCCTGAGGTAGCCCAGGCACCCAGCCCAAGGGTTTTCTTTTCATATTTAAAAACAAACTGGGAGGGGGTACAACAGGCCTATGTAGAGGAATGTAGCTTAATGCAAAAACTAAATAGTCCTGCTAACTAAGCTCCAGCATTGGGCATCTTAACTGCCCAGACACAACCACTGGACAGGGGCCTGTTCAAGAGTGAGAATATGGACAGAGATGACCTCAAACTCGCTACGTGAGAGACTGGGTAGTGGCAACAGATGACCGATTTCCGTATTTCCCATCAGATAATCACCCATCTCCCATACTGCATCAGGATGGAGTGAGTGAAGAGAGATAGGCCAGGAGACAATAAGAACAGGGTGTCATCTTGGGAAAAAAAATTAGTAGGGAAGAAGCGTTCCTGTTGGGTTTACAATCAAGCCTGGGGCTAATCTAGGTTCTCTATCAGAGAAGAGTTTAGAAATGATCCAGATATCAGCCCCCACACTCACAGGCCGTCTTAGAAACTTTTAAAAAAGAGAACTAGCCACTCTTCCATCCTCTGTGACACCTGGCCAGGGATGGCGGGGAGGGTGATTACTGCTCCTAACCCTGACTGCCCAGAAGCCATTCCTCTGAGCTCTAACACTGCAACCAAAAGTTTTCAAGCCCATAGGAAAACTAGCTTCTCCAGTCACCAGCTAGTATGGGACAACATACTCATTGCGGTCCCTAAGCCACTACCTGTCAGCACGAATTCTGGAGGCTCTGGCTGGCGGGTGAGGTACTGAGCAATTCCTCTCAGCTACAGTCCTTTCTAGAGTGATCCACAAAGATACCAAAGAGGCTCCAGCAAATCTCTTACCTTCAAACATGCATGCAGAACAGGACGACTGTCAAATACCTAGAGAGACAGAAGACAAGAAGCTGAGGGATGCCCTTTAGAGCACCCCAACCTCTTTCTCACTTTGTAAAACACAGCACAACTCTTGGTGCTGTGGAGAATTCTAAAATGAAGAAAGCACATCGATAATTAATATGTTAATTATATAGCAGAGTAAAGTAACCACAATAACTGAAATTCAAGAAAATAAAGAATGCTGGCTCCTCAGCACAATGGTAATACACTGCTTAAGAGAAGCCTGATCCCACGTGGCAGCTGCAGTTTGAACCTCAAGCCTAAAACACGTGTGGCATGTGTGCAAGCGCTCAAGATCCCATGGGCTAGAGGACTGGCGAAGGGGATCATGGTATGACCAAATCCTATGAAAGACACTTCTCATCTCTTCCTTCCTCCCCCTCTCAGATCTATCAAAGAGAAGGAAGAAAAAAAAAAAGAGCAAAGAGAAAGAAATGGATTCCAATTGGAGATATTGAAAGGATGGCTTTAGTAAAGGTCCAAACCCCTGATTTGAAGCCATAAGAAAGGACTGTGTAAGAGAGTTGGGAATGGGCCAGCAGGTGGTGTGGTGGTTAAGGGCATTGGACTCCCAATGGTTGACTGCAGTTCAAGTCTAGACCTGATAGCTTGCTCGCTCACTCTCTCTCTCTCTCTCTCTCTCTTGTTCTGTAGCTCTCTGTCGAATTAAATAAATAAAATAAAGGCGAACAAAATAATTCTTTAAAAAAAAAAAAAGAGTTGGGAAGGAGAGAGAATGCCATTCTAGGCTGGGAGGACAGCTTGAGCAAAACCATGGAGTGGGAGAACGACACATGGAAGAAAGCAATAAACAGTTAAGTACTGTGTTATAGGTGGGAGGAAGGAAGAGAGGGAAGAAGATGCTGACTACGGGGAGAAGGGACTACCCAAGATGGGTAGGGGGGCAAGGGAAGAAGAAGGGAGGGCGAGCGGATCTCAGGATCGGTAGGCAAAGGAGCAAGGAGAGTTGAACTTTGGAAGCCACAATGCTTGTATCTGGCTAGCCAGTGAGATGAGCCAAGGAGCCTCCATAGTCACCTTTATCAGGTTGAGGAGGATGCTGAAGTCTCGAACAGCCATGTTCCAGTACAGGAGCTTCTCTTCATGAACCTGGGGGCAGCCAGACACACAGGTACCTCTGAATCACAGCCAGATACTTCTCTTACTTTCCCCATGAGCACACAGCTCTTGATTACAGAGCTATTCAGAGATGTAAGTTAATTCCAAAGCGCTGTGGCAACCAGTCACAAGCTGGTGCTGAGGCTGCACGTAATGACAACAGAGCACAACACCTTGCAGAGACTTTTTTTTTTAAGGTTTTGCCATAAGGCAGGTGCAGTCACCAGAGAGAAACAGAGAGAAGGAAGTGAGAAATCACCCCTAGAGGGATGGCCATGCCACAATCCCTTCTCCGCCATTCTCCTCTTGAGATTTTGGGCATGCACGCACATGCGCCCAGCGTGTTCTCAAGCCTCGGCGTCCCAGACTCAAAACAGCACATTCAGCCATGTGAGATCCCGTGCCTTAACCTCCATGCCACCAACTGGCTCTGGGAGAGAAACTTCCTAAGAAGATGATTTCTCTTCAATAACTTCTAAGTTGGTAAAAGTCTCTAACACAACTACTGGCCCTCAGATCTCTCAGCTTCTCCGATTCCTACAGAAGCCCATGCCCTCAGCAGCACAGCTAAGTTCTGGGTAACAGGCAGCCACAGCCTACAGCATCTCAAACAGGCTGGCTTTACCCCATGCCAATCGGCAAGTGGCAATCAGGGAAGTAGGAAGCAATGAGAGCCCAAGCCTCATCTCTATCAAGACGAAGAGGAAATTAAACCAGGCGCTCTTGGGGCCAGTAGGTTAGGGCAAGTAGTTAAGGCACTGGACCCCCATGTGGCCAACTGCAGTTTGAATCCTGGACCCAGTAGCTTGAAACTCATGCTGGGCACATGTGCATACATGCTCAAAATCCCAAGAGGAGAATAGAGGAGAGAGGACTGCGGTGTGGCGATCCCCCAAGGCAGAGATTTCTCACTTTCTATATCTGCCTCTCTACAGAGAGTGCACATATCCTATGAGGAAAAAAAATATCTCAAAAAACAAAAACAAAAAAAACCTAAACAGGAGCTCTTTGAAAAACACTGTCTTGGTAACTCAAAGGTAAGAATCAGCAAGTTCCCAGTAATCCAGAGTCCACTTCGGGAGTGTGATATCTGACCCACCTGCTGTGAGTCTGCTGCTGTGCCAGCCTGAAGGCCTTTCACTGTCTTCTCCAGCTCAGCCATCATCACACGGAAGAAAATGACAAAGCTCTGCCTAGAGGAGGGGAAAGCATGCAGGCACCCAATGACATACTCACACTTGGAACGATCAGCAAAGAAACCAGGGAACCAAAACCAATCAGTTTGAATCCTGGACCCAGTAGCTTGAAACTCATGCTGGGCACATGTGCATACATGCTCAAAATCCCAAGAGGAGAATAGAGGAGAGAGGACTGCGGTGTGGCGATCCCCCAAGGCAGAGATTTCTCACTTTCTATATCTGCCTCTCTACAGAGAGTGCACATATCCTATGAGGAAAAAAAATATCTCAAAAAACAAAAACAAAAAAAACCTAAACAGGAGCTCTTTGAAAAACACTGTCTTGGTAACTCAAAGGTAAGAATCAGCAAGTTCCCAGTAATCCAGAGTCCACTTCGGGAGTGTGATATCTGACCCACCTGCTGTGAGTCTGCTGCTGTGCCAGCCTGAAGGCCTTTCACTGTCTTCTCCAGCTCAGCCATCATCACACGGAAGAAAATGACAAAGCTCTGCCTAGAGGAGGGGAAAGCATGCAGGCACCCAATGACATACTCACACTTGGAACGATCAGCAAAGAAACCAGGGAACCAAAACCAATGTCCAGTCCTACCTCTCTGAATGTCCTTTCATTAGGACCTACTGTAAGAGGACGGAGGAGTGGGAAGGATTCGGAAATGAACCAGAGAAAATAGGATAAGGAGCGTGGAAGCAATTTTATGCAGGAGGTGGTGTGGTAGCTCAGAAAGAGCAGTGAAGACGTGAGTCCTGGCTCCATGTTTCTATTATTGTCTGTGCAAGCTTGAGACCCTCCCTCACTCTCAACAGAATAATAGGGGTAATGATGCCCGTTCCTCCCAGAATTACTGAGAGAATCCAATGGGATAAAGAACATGAAAGCGCTCTGTAAATTGGAAAGACTACAACTGTCAGAACAACATGATATTATAAGACACATGCCTATTAAGTGAGACAGATGTGATTAGATAAAACAATCACCTTATATTGCTAACAGTGATTAAAATATTCAAAAGGTAGTCTAAAGTTTAAAGGGTGAAAGTAAAAAGAGAAGTTTGGTGACTAAACGTTTGCTGTCTAAAAATTCATTCTTCAACAAGGTCCTGTCACATGGGCTGGCCAAGGAGCCCTTGGAAGGAATGCTTAGTGAACACTCTACTGAGTGAATAGCTGTGCTCACCACCTGGAACTGAGAAGCAATGTACTTCTCTGTACACTACGGACATCAGGCAGTGTGATTCCATCTTACCTGGTCAGCGTAGGGAACGTGGAGGAAGATGCATCTTTAGGAGAGTTGATTAATTCTGGGACCCCAACACCAGCAATCTCCTCTATGGCTTTCAGAACATTGTCTGTGTGCTCCAAGTAGATACTGCGTTGAGAGGCACAAGAGATGAACATTTGAAAGCTGCAATTTCTTTCTTGCAATGTTACCAGGTATTAAGCTTAAAAAAAATGACTGGTACTTATTATTGTTGCTATTTATTCATAATTTACTATAGGGCGTGTGTGTTTGCCAGAGAGAGAGAGGGGGAAAGTGAGAAAGCATGTCCAGGGAGGATAGCCACACTGCAATCTCTTCTCCTTCATCCTCCCCTCAGGATTTTGGGTATGCACACACGTGTCCAGTGTGTTTTTCAAGTGGCCAGTCCAGGACTCAAACTGAGCAGTTGGCCATGTGAGATCCAGCTACCTAAACCAACGCATCATGGGCTCGCATGGCACTTAACTAATTAATTAATTAAAACATTTTTGAGAGGTTTTTGCTATAGGGCATGTGCTTGCAAGACAGAGAGAGAGAAAGCGAGAAATCACCCCCCAGGGGGTTGGCCACACCGCAATCCCTTCTCCTCCATTCTCCTCTCGAAATCTTGGGCATTCACGCACACGTGCTCGGTGTGAGTATAAGCCACCAGGTCCAGGACTCAAACTGCGGTTGACTACATGGGAGTCCAGTGACATAGTCATTATGCCAACTACTGGTCCCATGTGGCATTTATTTTTAATAAAAAAAAAAGATTGCTGATATTTGTCAGGAGGTAAATAAAAGAAATGAAGCCTCAACTGGCAATTGAATTAGATACCTCAGAGGTGGCAGATGTGTCTCAGATATGGTAGGCGATAGGAGGATATGACTGCTGAGCCCTCTGCTCCCTCTGTGATTTGATTTAACAATGAGCTAGCTGACAGAGTAAAACAGAACTATATGGGGCCAGCAGGTGGCACAGTGGTTACAATGTTGGACTTTCAGATGGCCAAGGACAGTTTGAATCCTAGAGCAGGTGGCTAGACCCAGGCACATGTGCGTGTGTTCCCAGAATCCCTGGAGGAGAATGGTGGAGAAGGGATTCCAATGTGGCCATCCCCACCTAGAAGAGTGATTTCCCACTTTTTCTCTCACTGTGTCTGACTGTGACAGTCTGTGACCAGATGAGGGATCCCAGCAGAAATGAAATGGGAGAAGGCTGTCTGCCTCACTAGGAAGGACGGGCCTCTCACCAGAACAAGTCGTGGAGCTGGTTATTAGAGATGCTGCTCTTCTCCTTCTCCCCCGTCGGCCACACTCGACAGAGGAAGTGTCTAGTCAGGGAAGCTGTGGGAAACAAGACAAAGACATCCCATTATGGGAAACTGCCTCACCGCTGACTCTCAGGCTTGGGGGGATGATTATCAATCAAAAGGATTGGTCTAACAGGCAACGTTTTAAAAGTTGCTGTGTTCCTGCTTCACTGACCTTTATACTAAAAATTAAGCCCTCTGGGGACCAGCAGACGGTGTAATGGTTATGTCACTAGACTCCCACGTAGCCGACCTCAGTTCGAGTCCTAGACTCAAGGGCTTAAAACTCACACCGGGAGTGTGTGCACACATGCCCAAAATCCAAAGAGAAAAATAAAGGAGAAAGGATCGTAGTGTGGCATCTCTTGCTTTCTGTATTTCTGTCTCTCCGGTGAGAGCATCTGCCCTATAGTGAAAGTCTCTCTCGCAAAAAAAAAAAAAAGCTCTCTAAAATTCACATCTACTCTTGACATATTCTGAAACACATGAGCATCAACATCCAACAGACACACAGAGAAAAATAACTGGGAACCAGCAGTTAGCGTAATGGCTATGTCACTGGACTCCCACATAGTCGACCGCGGTTCGCAGCTCGGACCCGGTGGCTTGAAACTCATGCCGGGTGCGTGTGCGTGTGTGCCCAAGATTCCGAGAGAATGGAGGAGAAGGGATTGCGGCGTGACCATCCCCCTGGGGGGTGATTTCTTGCTTTCTGTCTCTATGTCTCTGTCTGTCTGGCGAGCGCATGCGCCCTATAGCGAAAACCTCTCCAAAAAGAAAAAGAAAAAGAACACTGCAGGGCAGGGGGCAGGCCAACCTTGTTCCCACTGGGAAGGCCAACAGCAGTAGACACATACAGGTTCAGACCAAATCTCTCTGTTTTTTTGTTTTTGTTTTTTTTTTTAAAAGGTTTTTGCCATGGGGCGCATCCACTTGCCAAAGAGCGACAGAAAGAGAGACAGTGAGAGAGAGAAATCCCCCCTGGGGGGATGGCCACACTGCAATCCCTTCTCCTCCATTCTCCTCTCAGGATCTTGGGCATGCACGCACACACGCCCTACGCGATCAAGCCACCGGGTCCGGGACTCGGACTGCGGTTGACTACATGGGAGTTCAGCGATGTAGTCATTACGCCATCTGCTGGTCCCAGAAATTTCTTTTTTTAAAGGAAAAGATATAACTAAACTTAAGCAAAACAGAAAATGATCTAGCCTGTAGGTCTAATACAACAGACTAAACAATGCCAGAAGTCAGTTATAGCTCCTTCTGGAACAATGTCCTTCTTACCACAGCAAGAGGACGTGACCAAGCTATGCAAGAATCTGTATGTAAAACTTTCTATATATGGCCCCAAGTTTACAAGTACACATTATATATATATATTTTAAGGAATTATTTATTCAATACTATTATTATTTTTAATTTGCTATAGGGCATGTGTGCTCACCAGAGATAGACAAGAGAGAGAGGAAGTGAGAAAGCACGCTTCTAGGTCTGGGCCTTGCACTGTGGTCAGTCATGTGGGAGTGCCTTAATCACCACACCCCCTGCTGGCCCCACAACCGTGAGTTATTCATTCTGTCCATGAACAACAGAAAAGGATCTGGGCCCATTACCAATTTTTTCTTTGTTCTGAGCAGGAGATGTCGATTTCTCCAAAATGACCATCAGAAGTCTGACGAGATACAGAGCACACTGGAAACTGGGAATGCTGTGCTGGAAATTCTGCAAGTAGTGGAAGCTCTGGCTGTAACGAGATAAGGGAAAACGCGACAGCGTCGCCCACATTACGGATACGTTTAAGTCCACGTGAGTTGCCCGCCTTACCCTTAAGTGTTTGACGGCCTAATTGGAGTTCTCTTTCTTTCAGGTGCTTTAGTAGTGAACTTGTTCTGTAAAATTTTATATAAATAAATAAATAAATAAATAAAAAACTTTATCTATGTACAGAGAAAAGCCAGGGCAGAAGAGAGTCCCATGGATGAAATGCTGGCCTGGATGGGGTCATCTGTACAAAGAAAGCCAAGTACCTTGCTAAAGTATGCAGCCCTGGGTAAATGATTTGTTCCTGAAAGCCTCAAGAAACACACTGTTTAGGGACCAGCAGTTGGTGTAACGGCTATGTCGCTGGACTCCCATGTAGTTGACCATGGTTCGAGTCCTGGATCTGGTAGCTCAAACTCACGCCAGGCGCATGCGCGTGTGTGTCCAAGATCCTGAGAGGAGAATGGAGGAGAAGGGATTGCGGTGCGGCCATCCCTCCCGGGGGGGGTGATTTCTCGCTTTCAGTCTCTCTGTCTCTCTCTGTCTGGCGAGCGCACACGCCCTATAGCTAAAACCGCTCAAAAAAAAAAAACCAAAAAACGAAAAACAACCAGAGTCAATTCCTGATTGACTGTGAGGAGGTCAAGTAAATTAAAAGTACTACATTTAAATTAAATAAGTCCCTGCACTATTGGCAGGGATGATGAGCTTTGACTGCTATCTCAGTGACAGCTGAGAACCTCAGTGTAACTAGCTGCTGCCTAAGTATCTAACCCTGCTAGGAGCCAGGGTGGGTCCCTCATCATCAAGAGCTGACCATAGGGACCAGCAGGTGGCGTGATGGTTAAGGTGCTGGACACTCCCACATGGCCAACCGGGGTTCATGTCCTGAATCTGGTGCCTTGTTTTTTCACATCCTCTCTCTCTCACTCTTGCTCTGTCTCTCTCTGGACAAATTAAAAAATAAATGAATGAATAAATAAAAAAATAAAATAAATAATTATAAAAAAAAAAAGAGCTGACCATAGAAGGTTATGTTTCTATCATCATACCTGACAAGGTAGACTTTATGGGCCAATGTATGCATGAAGATTTAGCACCATTTGTTTATGGGTTTCTAAAGCTTCAAGGTTTATCAGAATATTTAGTGAAGTTTGTATACTGAGAAAAAGTAACTACTGTAAAAATATCAATTTTTTTCACAACTACTGAGAAGCACCCAAGCTATTTTCATGAATTTTTGTCAGTCTTGTTCCTAGCAGTTTCTGGGACAACAATTTGGGACATACAATCTTACTCACCTGAGCAGTTCCTCCAAGGGCTGGTCTTGTTCTCCCTGCTTCAGTCGGTTAGTGAGGACACCAAGGGCTGAGTACAGTAAATTAAAATTTTCAGGCTGAGAAAATCCACTCCTAAGGGCAAGTCAAAGTAAGGATTTAGCTTGGTTTCAAGATTACTTGGACAACATCTGAGAACCATAGTCTCTACTTAGTACCATCAATAAGTCAAAAGAGTGCAGAAAAAAAAGAAGCACTGGAAGTACTCATGCATTGAAAGTACTCAGCAGGTGGTGCAGTGGTTAAGGTGTTGGACTCCCACACGGCCAACCAGGGTTTGAGTTCCAGACATGGCGGCTTGAAACTCACGTGTGCATGTGTGCACAAAATCCCAGGAGGGAAATGGAGGAGAAGGGATTGTAGGTTCCGCCATCCCCACCAGGGGTGGGTGGGGGGTGATTTCACACTTTCTCTCTAGCAAGTGCATACTTTTTTGTTGTTGTTGTTGCTATAAGGCGTGTGCGCTCACCAGAAAGACAGAGAGAGACAGAGAGACAGAAAGCGAGAAATCACTCCCCAGGGGGAATCACCATGCAGCAATCCCTTCTCCTCCATTCTCCTCTCGGGATCTTGGGCACACACGCACACGCACCCAGCATGAGTTTAAGCCACCGGGTCCAGGACTTGAACCGCAGTCGACTACATGGGAGTCCAGCGACATAGCCATTACGCTAACTGCTGGTCCCGCAAAATCTCTCTTAAAAAAATTAAAAATATTCTCATTTAGTCATAGCTTTAAGTACTGGATTGGAGGTTCAAGTACT